TGTGTGTGTGTGTGTGTGTGTGTGTGTGTGTGTGTGTGTGTAAGGTTCCAAGTACCGTCATTAAGGGTTTTTTTAATGTTCATCACACTGTTCGTAATATCAAAAGTTACTGAGAGCTTAGTTCCACTTATATGAGTTAAATGAAAGACAAAAGGATGGCTTTCGTTGTTGTTGTTGTTGTCGTCGTCGTCGTCGTCGTTTTTGTTGTTGTTGGTGATGGTGGTGGTGGTGCTTTTGTTATTATTGTTGTTGTTTTCTCTTTTAGAGTTGCAATGCCGAGACTGTTGACAAACGAGTGTGAGCCTACGAGAGGTTCTTTTTTTTAAAGCGTTTTAAATTCCTCTTTATTATCTATTATGTAGACGACACAGGTCCAGTGTCTAGCAAGTTCTCTGCTAGAAAGCGGTTTTTGTCAGTGTTTTACAGGTCAAACGACACGATTTAGAGGATTTAGAAGATTCCTAGATCCTGCCTGCATGGCCAATCCTTTCTGTTTGAAATAGATTACATTGATTCAAAAACAAAGCCACCTGCACCCCCGCCCAGCATGATGTTAACTACCTTAATTAACGAATACCTCCATGGAGCTCTACACGTTTTGTATGCATCTCGAGCTCGCTCGTCATAACAAGTCTATATATTGTGTCATGACATGGTGAAATCAGGCGCTCGTTAATTTTGGAGCACAATATGGAGATATTAGTACAGTTCTTAAGCTTATTTTTTGTCTTGCTTTTGAAGAAAATATAGTCATCAATCTTGACTACAAATCCATATTATTTACGACTGAACTAAGTAGGGGTTCCCTTGGTGGGTGACTAATCTGTTAACATGTTGTAGACATGTTATTCTGTTAGAGGGCCTTTTGACGCTATCCAGCCATGTTTTGCATAGTCTACCCCTACCTTTCCAAACAAACAGTGGAAACCGCACAACGCAAGATCTGCATTCAAATTGAACAATAATATTATTATCATCATTTTGTGTGTAGATTTTTTCTTTGATGCAATTCTTGTGACGCAAAATTTCTCATAAGATGGTGCTATTGGTTTTTTTCATAATACTTAGTTTATGACAGGGGCTTGGATGTTGATGTCATGAACGCACTTAACCAACGTACGTGTCCACCAAACCAGAAACCAACCGACTAAAAATCGTCCGTCTCTCCGGAAGTCGGTACTTGAAACAGAGCACCAGTGTTTTTTCATTACCTATTACTATTAGTGAAAATATCGTTTGAACGTGTTCACCAAAACGAATCGACACCTACGTTACCCCAAAAAGACGGGTTGGTTGGAATGCTGCATGATGTATTTTAGTCCGGGTGTGTGGCGACCTATTAGCCAGAGGCCCAATCAGAGCAAACAAAACAAAACAAAACAAAACAAAAAACTAACAGTAATTTCAATTTTAAGTTCCAATTTTTAAAAAATTGTAATTATATTTTTGTAATCAGTGCCTAAATATTTCAAAATTAACAAATTTCAAGGGTAAACCTCCGGTTTAAATACATATATATTAACAATTTTACTATTTTTAAAAAAGTCATTCATAGTTTGATATTTCCATCTACTATTTCTTAACATCCGACCTGTTCACTCATGTCTGAAACGAACAGACTGGGAAACGAAAAAAATAATCGGATCGCTTCTGTTTTGATGGACATGTGGTTCCATCTATCCAAAACTCGTATTAGTCTCTATTTGATTTTGTTAACTTTTCCCAATATGTTTACTTTACAACC